CCGTGTGGGGCGGGGGCGGTGTGGGGGCGGGGCTTTGTGGGGGGCCCTTGCAGGGTCGGTGGGGGTTGCCAGGGCCCAGCGGGGACTGTGTCTAGGCTCCCCTCCGGCGGGGGGGGGCCGGGCCGTGGGGGGGAGGGCCCGTGTGGGGCGGGGGCGGTGTGGGGGCGGGGCTTTGTGGGGGGCCCTTGCAGGGTCGGTGGGGGTTGCCAGGGCCCAGCGGGGACTGTGTCTAGGCTCCCCTCCGGCGGGCGGGTCCTGGGCTGTGTGTGGCAGTGCCGTACCCGAGAGGCCTGGGGTCAGCATGGGCTGGGTGTGTCCCTTCCTGATGGGTGCGGCTGTACCTGGATGTTCTGGCCCCCCTGGGCTTAGCACGGACTCGGATTTGGGGTGCTTCCTGACACTTGTACCTTTGAAAATCCATCGTGACAGCGGGCGCATGGTTTCGTTGTTTGCATGAGTTCAGCAGCCCACTATTTAAATTCATGGTGAGCTCCCCTTCTGGACAGGGAACCTGGACATAAAGGCCATGATCCTGTAACTGGGCCCTGGATGGACCTGTAGATCTGTGAGGAGCCCTACTGAAAGCTGCAGGAGGCTTAGAGCATGCACGAATTTGCTAACAAAGAGCTCAGTGCTAAATTGAGGCCATATTTAGTACAGTTGGAGGTTTAATCACTGTAACTTAATGGTTAACAATACAGACTGAGACAGCCATTTCCATATTTCCTGGGACACAGAGAGCCTGCCTTTGCTATCCATTTGAAAAGCTTGAGTAACAATGGCACACTTGACAACCACCATTCTTACCTGATTATAATGCCTAATTAGGCAGCGCGGGAGTGTTTTCAGATCAGTGAGCAAATGTAAATTATCTGGTAGGGAAGAGGCATATAGTGTCATAAATAAAAATCAGAAACAGGTGTTCTGATGGAAAAATATTACATTTTTAGTAATTTATTGGGTTTTGTCTGAGAAAACAACTTGAGGGCCAAGTGACATTAGTTCAGTCAATGGCTGAGCCAACACTGCGTACTCTAAGCTAGCAGAAGGCTGGCTGGACAGTAGACCTAGTAGAACTTTGGGTTTCCAACACTGTATCCCAAAAATGTGGGGCAGATGTTCTGAAGGGGTGGCTGGGCCAAAATTGACTGGCATTGCATCTCCATGTGCCAGGTGGAAATACGGAATACAAAGGTGGCCTGTGCTGGCTGAACCTCGCTAGCTTGGCACGCTCTGGGCCAGCACCGTCCGTGGCCTGGCAGGATTTTAGTGAGCCTGATGTCTACTTATCACAGGGGAGGCCAAGTTTCTCATGGTCCCATACAGTTTGTTTCCAGCCACCAGCCCTGGCTCTCAGTGTCCTGTGCTATTGTTTAGCTCTCTGATTTACCCCAAGTGTCTAAGAGTCCATTAAGCAGTGGTTTGGCATCAGTCAGGTCTGAGGGGGTCAGACTGGAGAGGTTCAGCTTGTACTAATTTACTAAAAATCAAGCAGCTTTTTCTTTAAACGAGGAACATCCCTTATAATAGAGGGCTGCTGACAACCATAGCCAGAGCTGTAAAGACAGAACATAATGTAAATCATGTTGCAGAATGACGTTTGTCATTCACAGAAGTGTTCTTTGATATCCTCGAGGCTTGCCACCTCGTGTTCTGGAAAGAGTTGATGCCTTATTTCTCTCTCCCTAAGCCTTTGTGTGCAGTAAAACGTTTCTGTATCTAAGAAGGGACTTCTATCGCTTCGTGCCTTACATTATAGGTGGATCTGTATTGACTCCCAGAGTACAAGTGTACCCCAAAGGAGCTGGCGGTTTCCTGCTAAAATGTTGTGAGCCAAGCGTGCTACACTGTAGGACTGCGTCTAGACTGGCAAGTTTTTCTGCAAAAGCGTTTGCTTTTGCGCAGAAACTTGCCAGCTGTCTGCACTGGCCGCTTGATTTTGCGCAAAAGCACTGACGTTCTACTGTCCAAAATCAGTGCTTCTTGCGCAAATGCTTTGACGTTCCCGTTCGGTCAAAAGCCCTTTTCCAGAAATGTTTTTGCGCAAGAGGGCCAGTGTAGACAGCTAAAAACTGTTTTGCGCAAAAAAAGCCCTGATGGCGAAAATGGCGATCGGGGCTTTCTTGTACAAAACTGCATCTAGATTGGCACGGACGCTTTTCTGCAAAAAGTGCTTTTGCGGAAACGCGTCCGTGCTAATCTAGACGCTCTTTTCCGCAAATGCTTTTAATGGAAAAACTTTTCTGATAAAAGCATTTGCGGAAAATCATGCCAGTCTAGACATAGCCTTGGTGTTGCTTTGGCTGTGCCAGCGATGGGGTGTGTGTAGGCCAGGGGTGGGCAGAACCCTCTCAGTGGGATGGATCTGGCCCACCCAGGGCTTTGTTCCGGCCTGAGAGGTAGTTTCAGGCTCCACCCCCTAGCTCGTTGCCTGGAGCAGGGGAGGGCGCAAGCCCTTCAAACCGCTTCTATTTAAAGGGCTCAAGTCTTCCCAGCAGCTGCAGGGAAGGCACCAGCCCTTTAAATAGAAACAGCTGGATGGGCTGGGTCTCTGGCTCCCTAGCAATGCACTGGGGGGGAGGGATGGAGCTGCCAGCTCTCAGCTGTTTTTATTTAAAGGGGCTCTTGTGTTCCCCTTTAAATACATCAATAAATAAGCCCTGGGAAAGGCAGCAGCCCTTTAAACAGACACAGCTGAGAGGGCTCACAGCTCCCGGCGCCTCCAGCGCATTTCTGGACCGTGATCCCAAAGGGATCCTGCGTCTCCGGCAACACACTAGAGATGGGGAGCTGGGAGCCCCTTCAGCTGTGTCTGTTTATAGGGAGCTTGTGTCCCCAGCTGCTAGGCAGCGGGTTTGCTGGCAGGCACAGGGAAGGCGCCAGCCCTTTAAATAAAAGCTCTTAAAAGGGCTCGCAGCTCCCCCAGCCTCTAATGAGTTGCTAGGAAGCCAGAGAGAGGATCCCTTTCAGCTGCATCTATTGAAAGTGCTCGCCTGCTGGGGGCTGCATTGCCTGGCAGTCACCCGGCAGGCACAAGCCCTTGAAACAGAAGCAGTTGAAAAGAGCTCACAACTCTGCCCCACTGTCCGGTTGCCTGGAGCTGCCCAGGAGGCGTGAGCCCTTTCAGCTGCTTCTATTCAAAGGGCTTGTGCCTGCCGGGCAACTGCCAGGCAATAGGTTAGAGGCGGGGAGCGTGGCTCTGTTCTCCTCTCCTGTCACATAGGTGGTGGACAGTGCTCCAGGTGACCTCCAAATGGAGCTTATTGACTTGCAGAGTGATGCCTTGCTTGGGGAGCAATTCAAATCAACCCCACATCTGCAGTTTTATGCATCTCTCAATAAACGAAGCTTTCCAAAGGCCAAGGCTTGTGCCCCAAAGATGCTTGTATTGTTCGTAGATGTAAGTTGATCTGAACAAACATTTTCTGTGATGAAATTCAACACTTCTAGGAACAGATCTGTCACTGATGACCACCTTGCAGTAGTGCTCCGCATTGCAACATCAGAAATGACACCTGACTTCACGTCCCTTGTGAATGCCAAACACAGACTTTCTTCTTCACACTGAGTTGCATTTTTTTACACTTAAATGTAATGCACATAAGTTGCATTAAACTCAGGTGGGCAATAAATCGGATGTGGCATCTGCCAGTGCTTATTAACGTGTCTCTCTGTTGGCTCCTGTTGGCTGTGGATCACCATTCCTAGCCCCTGTGAACTGTAGGAGGTGGTGTCCCAATTCACGCAGCGCCCATTGGTTGGAGATGGTGCTGCATGGTGATCGGGAGGTTCAGGCAGCTGTACCAGTGGAAGTGCATGTAAATAAGCAGTGGTGGCTGCCGGGGCTAACC